GCCATTACGCTATCTGCTGGTCCTGTGGGAATCAGGCTTTTCAGTTCAGCTTTGACTTTGTTTGCATCTTCCTGGTCAGGACTCTGGAGAAGGCTAGAAAGAATAATGGTACCTCGGTTTATACTAGCCTAGGACTTCAGCTTCTTTATACCCACATGCTCTACAAGTGTTTTTGCACAACAATCTTCTCCCATTTTCTTTCATCTTTTTATCTTGTCCTATTAACCACTTCAGTACTAGATGACCTGCAGGATGTTCTGCAACATGAAGCTCTGTCCTTGCCTCTGGGGTGGAGTTCTGCTGCTGCCAAGCTGGTGATGGCATCTGTAGTAGACTGGACATCGCCAGTGGCAGATCCTAGAATGTCAGCCATAGACACACATGCAGATTTATTAGCACCATGTCTTGGGCATGTCTTTGCAGGTAGCTTAACAATGCTGGAGAAATGGATTCTAACAGCTCGCGTCAGCGGATTTCTGTGCCTTTCTTACTGTGTGCATTTCCATCTCCTTTCTGTAGAACTTCAATGATTTCTTGGACTGTAGGTGCAGGATCTCTGGGGCTTAGTAGATAGAACAGAACCTTCCTTCCATATTTGTCATTTACTAGGTTAGGTAAAGAACTGAACATTTTTGATATGATTATCTGCTTCACAAACTTAGTATCGTCAATACAGTCGAATACTGCCACCGTTTCTACGTAAGTCTTCATTGTTTTCACAATTATTTTCCTGTCCTTGAGTGTACCATGTCAGAGTCAGTGCATGGCCACTCTGGCACCGTGTGTGTGTGCCAGGTGTATCAGTGCTTCACGGATGGCTTCGATCAGTTCTGATCTCAGTTTTGGGAGTGCATAGGTAAAAAAGTCTGAGAATACTTTCTGCACCAATGAGAGCTTAATCACAACTTCCTTCTGGGCCAGTGGAGTTAGAATCTGCTTTATTTCATCCATAATGAACTCTAATTTTTCAGGCTTTGCCTCTAACGCGTTGTCGAGTTGGGTGAGCTGCTGACTTGTAAAGCTGAAGTGTGCTCTGTAGCACGTTGACACCTATGAAGCGTGTTCTGACACCTCTGTCAGCGTGTTCCTCTGTTCCAGGATGGCTTTGGCATTGTCCGCATACTCCACGATGCCGATGCGTCTGTGTCACAGCATCTTCAGCACGTGGCCTTTAAAAGTCCCGATTATCTCTGCAATTTGTGGTCTACCATACATGAGAAATTTCTTAACAATATTTCTGGAGTATTTGGCTTTACTTAATTCGACCGAATCACCTCGCAATTCTTCGAAAGCCTGTTTTCTCTGTTCTTTATCACTATACTGAATATAACACCAGATAACCCGAGTTCAGTTGTGTGCAAATGCAATACTTTTAAGTTTTCCTTGAATCAATTTCTGTAAGTCACCCATCCACTTTACACTTTTTTCTTTGTCACGGTCTTCCCTTCTCTCCCAGATCTGCTTGACCCGAGTGACAGTGTCATAGTTGGTTTTATCATTAAGTTGCCTGCTCTGCTTCTGTTCGTTCTTCTTTTCGAAATCATCCCATTTGGGTTTTTGGCCGCTGAGTCATCACTTTGACTGTTTGGAATTTTCTCTTGTTGAATTTATTTGCCTGTGGGAATTTGATCTTAGGTGCTTTGTCCCCTTGTTGCTTATTCTTGAGCTGCTTTACACCTTTCCCCCCAGGTTTTGTGGCACTTTTATCAAAGTTCTTTGATGTGATTTTAGGTCTGCTTCCCTTAACTTTTCTTGGGAATGTCTTTGAAGAACCGGAGTCTCTGTTATTATAGAATCTTTTTTTCTTGTGATGCCTTTGTCCTCCTTCCTGTTAGTTTTTTTTTTTTTTTTTTTCCACTTCAACTTTCATCATATCATCTTAGCACACGTGGGGCCAAAGTCAGAGCTAGAAGGAGATCTCCAATACCGCTTCCGCTCAAATATAATATCTTCTTACATTCTGTTTTTATATGTGCGTATCTGTACATTAATTAGCAATATTAGGATAGAATTTTCCTCTATATTTTTATGCTGGAATTTTAGTAGAATTTGTAGGTGGAGGGTGAATTGGTCTCTTGCTTTAGGGGATAGGTGTATATTGATAATTCACTTGAACCCTGATAGGATATGTTTGTCTTATACCTGAGGCACAAATTTTCAAAGTTAGGGAGACAAGACTAAGAGTTATCCATGGATACCAAATCCTGGGTCTTCAGATTTTTTTTTTTAAACGTTCTTGATTTTGAATATTAAAAAAATTCACAGAGGGCCAGATGGTGGTGTGGTTGGGTGGCTAGATCCCACACATGGATGAATGAACGGTTTAAGTCCTGGATCCTGGCTTTAAAAACGCACTAAGTGCATGTGTGCTCAAAATTCTGAGATGAGAATGGAGAAGGGATTGTTGCATGGCTATGCCCCCTGGAGTTTTGTTTTGTTCACTTTCCTTCTCATTCTCTTCCTTTTTCTCTGGAAAGTGCACACACTCTATAGCAAGTTAAAAAAAGAAAAACTTTTTAAACACAGCAAACCTTATCTATCTTTGGTTATAGTTGATCTAGTTGGAGTTTTGTGTTTTTCTAGACTTAAAAAGAAAAATTAATACATGTGGGTTCAGTAGTGTTACCCCTGTGCCACTATTTGGCCCCAGGGAAAGAAGAAGACAAATTGTTATAGTTTACTCAGTGAGAAATAAGAGGACATCTAGACATAGCCAAATTTATTGGAGTTTATTAATTAAGCCAGTGGCATACTCATGTCTCTCAAAAACTCGCAGCCCCTAGTGAAAGGAGAATGGACCTTATATAGGCCAAAAATGTACAATCCTGTCCATGATGACATGAGGATTCACAAGGACAAAGAGCAGCAGGTTTAAAAGGGGGGGTGGGTGGGGCTAAGGTTCTACAATGTAAAAGCAAATAAAAGCACATCACAGAGGCAGAACAAGCAGGTTAGCAGGTTCATCATCCCTAAGGGTATTTTCCATCTTCATCCAAATACAATGGAATCTCAATAGTCTTTATGGCTCCAGGCAAGGTCCAGTGACTGGACCTTATCTTAAGACAACTAAGAGAAGTGGAGTTTTAAGGCCAATAAAAATGTTAATCACTCTATTTACTATCAGATAAAAGGGGAAAGGGCTGGTTTCCAGTCATAGGAATTTAATAGTTCATAATGGAGGTGCTTCTCCAAGATGGAGTAGCTCCTGCTTTATTCCCCACTTCTCTTGGAGGCGCTCCTCCAAGATGGAGTCATGCCTGCTTCAAAATAAAATAAAGCAGACACAATTTAAAAAATTTAGTTTAGGGTCTGTCCTTTCAGAATAGTTTCCACCCTCATTCACTATTCCCCAAAGACTAGAGACTTACCTGAAGGGTAAATTGGGGAAATGACCCAACACATGTGGCTCAATCTTTTCCATTTAAATTTAGCTGTCTTCTGTAAAAGATCTGGTCTACCACCTTCATTTCATGTGTAAACTGTGGGAATTGAGATCTTATGGTTCTGCCTGTGACCAGAGAGGCTTGCATTTTATTCAGCTGTAAAGAATTACTTAGGAAGTACATTTTCCTAAAAAATATCTTTACAATTAAAGCTTATATTTTGATTACAACCCATCTAAGACTTTGGATTCCAACAAGGGATAAATTTTTTATTACTCTGGAGGCTGAAAATAACCATAACAACTTATTTCAAGGTGATTCCATAGAGCTAATGAGCAAAAAAATGAATTTAAACCTTTTATTTAAAAGGTTTTATTCCTCATACTTTCTCCTTGATTATTTTTCTTAACTGTATTATCTAAGCATTATTTTGTGTATACCTACTGTGAGAAGACAAAGCTAATTTATAAATGTTTGAGGAGCCTTTTGTTCTATCAACCAGGCTTCACATCTGTTTTGCACAAACATGAAATCAAAGAGAAAATATGACAAGGTGGCAGATCTATTTACTATGATAATAGGAATATTATACTAACAAATCATTAATATGGGAAATCAGAACTTAACTAAATGGAAAGTGTGTATAGTGATTTATAATATAATAAATAAAAAGCACTCAACCTCGTGTAAAACTTCAGAAGAATTATATTTAGAGTTGAGTTTCCTGTTTCTTGTTTTTTAAATTTGCTAGAGGGTGTGTACACTTGTCAGAGGAGGAAGTGGGAAAAAGAATGTGAGAAAGCATCCCCCAGGGTATGGCCAGGCTCCAATTTAAAAACCAGGGAGTTGTTATTAGTGGGCTATGCTATTAAATGAACACCTTATTAAAACAGCACTAGAAGTGGAGTTCGCTTGTCTACTTTCTCTTCACTTTGAGGCTGTTGAAAGTGAGGTCGAACTTGTGTTCAGAGTTACAAATCCTATAATGAGAAAACTGCAGTACTGTTTGTCTCACTACATTTTGAACTGTTTGGTAATTCTCATTTTAAGAACTGTTTAAACAACAACAAAACAAAAATAAATCCCTTTTCCACTTTTTGTAATAAAAGGCATTTTACAAAGTGGGCGAGTGGCCTAAACAAAATGAACATGTCTTCACAGGTTGGTGTGTCGTATTTATGTACCAACTTATATATCTAATTGGCAGTAGGCATATTTTCACAAACTGAGAGTCTGTTTCCATGAAGCTACATCCGGTTTTTTTGCCTGTTGTGTAGAGGGGAATTCATGGACTGAGCAGGTAAGATTTCCATCACTTACTGGCTGTTCAGTATTGGTGGATGGAAAAACCCCTTAGTTGTCAAATGAGTATGATTCCATCTACACAGATATCATAGATTGGTGTTTCTGATGGAATGCGACAGCACATCAAGGATTTCCAATGTGAAAATGTCTATACAAATTAGAGTCATACTTTAGATTACTAATTTAGTTGTTTGAGTTACCTTGTAACTTGGCCTGTCTAAGCCTTGTTACCAGTAATTTGGAGAAAAAGAATATCTACCTTGGAAGTCTATTGTGAAGTTTAAAGAAAGACACTGAAACTCATGTCTTTGAAAAACATAGGCTGATTTTTATTGCTCATTGACTATACACCTAGAAAGCATGACTGATTTTGTGTGATTTATTTCTATTTTGACTATCTATGGAAAATGAGATCAATCTCAAAGCCCCTTGGGAACCTGAAGATCGTCTTTGAAACCTGACACACTGCATTAAACTGAAGGGAGTAATTTTGGGGTGTCATGTTAATATTGAACAGTGCTACTTTGTGGGGCTTGAGATATCCACAGTTCAATGTCATAAATTAATTCCACATAGCAATTCATTGTACGTTGACATGTATAAGAGATGAAGGATAGGCAAGGAAAAAGAAAGTTGCACTTGTTCTAATGAAAATTAATCAACCCAGTGGAATAAACATAGTTTTGATGTTTCCTCAACTTTTGCATGTAGTATCCACATGCCATTTTGTGATCACATAATTTTGTCCAAACACTTTTTCATTGATATGTTTTCCTTTTGGAGTTCCTTTGGAAAGTGTGTCTTCCTGCTCCTTACCAGTCACCCTGGCAGTCTTGGTCAGGTCTTCCTAAGGATGAAGGCTTGAGGCTAGCACTTCTCAGCTCACTGAAGCCAGGCAGGTGCTCTAGGGCAGAGGCAGGCGTTTCAGAGACAGATGTGACTGTGTTCCTGGCACGTGGTGCCCAGACCAGCCACAGACAGGTAAAGCTTCCCATCTGGACACACACAGATTTCATAGAGTCTCTGTGAGCTGCTGGAGGGACCCCAAGTCCCCTGAACCAACTTGGGTAAACACACAGTTTCAGCATCAAGCTCAAGCTGTTTGAGAGAAAGTAAATGAGATGTTAATGAAGGACTAACCTTGACCAACATAATTATCTGATTCTCTTAAAACCTCATTCTATTTTACATGCAGGAAGGACTACACAACTCCTCTTTTCTAAATTGGAGGGTGGACACTTTTTAATTTTTTTCCCATTGTGTTAGTCCAGAGGGAAAACTGATTGATTTTTGACATGTGTTGCTATTATACTGAGTTGTCATATTTTTCATAGAAAAATACATCTTGCCTTTCCTGATAACCTAATTGTGTGGTCAATAAACTGAGTTGCTTTTCAGTTCTGTCAGGCTATAGTCCCAGAAATGTCTTTCAGAATTATTTGACAAAAATAATAGCATTCTTCTGCCAATTCACGTTTATCATGTGATTCACTTTGACTTTATGCCAAATCATCTTCCTATTAGGAAAGAGTAGTAGCCACAGAAATAGATCCATCTTCGTTTTCCCTATGAATGCTGGAATTTATCCTGATTTTATTTGTGTTTCCCCTACAGGAGGCAATTAAATTTATCCTATTAGCTATCAGCCGGTTCCCTAACTTGTGAATATTTGAACTCCATTGCCTTCTATTGGATGCTAAAAGGCAGTAGGCATGCAGACTAAAGCCAATCAAAATAAAACAAAAGATCGGATTATCTGGTTTCATTATAATTTAGTTGCACTTAAGTGTAAATAGCCACTAAATGAGATTTAGGAATCTTTCTGATAACTTAAGAAAATAAGAATCATCACACTGAGCAGCCAAACCTTACCCATGCCAGGGCTCTCACTGGTTAGAATGAATTAAAATACGTTGTGGGTAGGTTTAATTTTCTTCCTGCCAACAAAGTTAGATTTTATGTAGCTCTCCTCCCTGAATTTCAACCTACTGATAAGCTGAAGTCCGCTATCCCATCCCCCCTCCCCCACCCCGGGAATCTGAGCCTGTCACGGGAAGGAGCGAAGGGCACAGTATGAGCACCATTACCCTGTGTGGTCTGGCACATATCAGTGAGGGAAGTCAGATGGGTATTATTATTATTTTTTTTTTGGAGAGGTTTTCGCTATAGGGTGCGTGCACTCGCCAGACAGACAGAGAGAGACATAGAGAGAGAAATCATTGCCCAGGTGAGATGGTCACGCCGCAATCCCTTCTCCTCCATTCTCCTCTTGGGATCTTGGGCACGCACGTACACGCGCCTGGCGTGAGTTTTAAGCCACCCAGTCTGGGACGCGAACCGCGGTTGACTACGTGGGAGTCCAGCGACATAGCCATTATGCTAACTGCTGGTTCCCTCAAATGGGTATTAGTTTTCAAAAAGCAGAATCTCTTTAAGTTATAGCCCAATGCCTTGGGTTTCTTTTGGGGGGTACTTGCTTTTCTCTACTGTGTTTTTAATTGCTTGTCTTCACATTTCCCCTTTCCTTTTGTTAATTGATCTATTTTTTTTTAGTTGTTATTTTCTCCCTACTTTTCTGGCAAACTCTAGTCCCTTTCTTGCTCATCTTCATTTGCATTTATAGGACAATATTTGATGGGAGCCCAGATATTTATCTTTTACTTTGAACTAGCTCCCAGTAATAAGGAATATGAACCCTCATTAAGGATCTGGCTGTGTGTTAGTCGTGAAAATAATGCCCAACTCATACCAGCAGTTAGCGTAATGGCTATGTCGCTGGACTCCCACGTAGTCAACTGCTGTTCGCATCCCGGACCCGGTGGCTTAAGACTCACGCCGGGCGTGTGTGTGTGCGTGCGTGAGATCATGAGAGGAGAATGGAGGAGAAGGGATTGTGGCGTGGCCATCCCTTCTTGGGGGGTGATTTCTCACTTTCTGTCTCTCTGTCTCTTTATGGTGAGCACACGTGCCCTATAGCAAAAACCTCTCCCGCCACCCCCCGCAAAAGGTTGTGTGTTATTAAAGTATGAAAATTAAATAATTATTTCAACATATTCACTATTGTCCTTTCAGTGGTTTTACAATTTTGCAATTAGAAATAGCTTTTATAGTACATGTGCACATATTTAGGATCACTTCTGATTATTTCTTTGTGAAGTAGAATGTGGAGTTGAAGAGTAGGAATATTTTAAAAAGTTTTAAACAGTACATGTTTCTAAGTTAAATGACTACTTCTCAGAGTAAACGTTGAATAGTTGACTTATAATCAGAAACATCAGATTTGAATCTCAACCTTGAGATCCCAAGAGGAGAATGGAGGAGAAGGGATTGCGGCGTGGCCATCCCCACTGGGGGGTGATTTCTTCTTCTCTGTCTCTCTGTCTCTCTCTGTCTTTGTGGTGAGCGCACACGCCCTATAGCAAAAACCTCTCAAAAAGAAAAAAATACATAATAAATAGCCTCATTTCAAAATTAACATCTATTTAAATGATACATTTTAAGTATGTAGTAATGCTATGATATTAGTAATAATAATCAAAATTCTTGATTCCCGTTTCTGCATTTATCTGCTCCTGATATCATGACTTCATAAATTACAACTTGCAGTGGCTTCTACAAATAATTTTTTCTTCTATTAGTCAGCTGCCACCATGCAGGTCCTGCCCACACTCCCTGAGGCTGCCTCTCGTGTCAGCTATGCCTTCCTATCACAGGAGCCTCCCTGCTCCACAATCTCCCCACCTATGGTTTTAGGTGTCCATGGTAAAGTGGAAGATATTTGAGAGAGAGACAGACCACATTCATGTAACTTTTCTCACAGTACATTGTTGTAATTATTCTATTTTATTCTTAGCTGTTGTAAATCTCACACTGTGCCGAGTTTATGAGTTAAACTTTATCAGAGGTGTGCATCTATTAGAATTCAGTTCTGTCCCTGGTTTCTGGCATCCACCAGGGGTCTTGGAATGTATTCCCTTTAGAAGGGGGAAAGGAATACTGTACTATTAAATTTATGTAATTCCAAAATGTTCTCAATCATAGTACTATCTTAGTGTCCTAAAACCCTGTAACATAGTTAAACAAATATTATTTTCTCTATTTGACAGATGAGAAGACAGAGAGGGCTGGTAAACTTTCTGAATTCAATAGGTAATTAGGGAATTGATCTAGCGATGAAACTCAGGCTCCTGGTCTCCCAGCCAGATCTTCTGTGAGTCTGGGTGTTGCCGGAGGCATGATGGTCAAGCCAGTCTAGAGAAAGCGTGTAGAAATCCATGTGCCCACTCAGTGTGGGCATTTACTCATTGTAAAAGGTGCTTCCACACATACTTGTTCCAGCATATCTACCCAGGCAATGGTCACATAAAAATATAAAGTACAATCCGTGTTACCCACTGCAAATTGTTACAAAGACAGAGCTATGTAAAAGAGAATTCCTGGAGCAGTGCCTTATTTTGCTCACATTTACACATATGAAAATAGCTAGGGGTAAGCAAAGAGAAGATGAGGTAAGTGATTTGTGCAAACCCACAATGTGGTATCATATGACTAGCATCAACCTATAAGCCAAACCCATGGTTTCTTCTAGAGCTTCTTTTTTATCTTCCTTCTAGCCTGTCTTTCTTTTTCCTTTCTTCCTTTTCTTCTTTTTCTCTTCTCTTTCTTTTTTTTTTTTCTTCTCTTCCTTTCTTCTTTCTTCCTTTTTCTTCATTCTTCTCTTTCTTTCTTAATTTTCTGGAGGACATGTACATCATGAGTGGGAGAGGAGGGAGAGAAAAAAGCACCCCCTCACATCCCTAGAGAAAGCTATGTTGCATCCTTTCTTCATTTCTCCTTTTGGGATTTTCACATGTATACATGCAGTTTTTCAGTCGCTGGGTCTGGGACTTGAACCACACAGTCATGTGGGATCCAGCCACCTTAACCGTCACACCTGTGGCAGGCCCCTTCTTCTAGAACTCACATGCTCAAGTTTCTGATTGACTGAAATTGAGTTTTCCCCTTTCTTTAATAAACAAGGTTTCAACCATTGATATTAGGCAGTATGTACTCTATTGTCTTATTATGAATTTGGCTTCTATCCATTTTATATTTTTAGACTAGACATCTCATATTTTATGCTATTGTAGTTGGCTTTCAAAAATGCTCTTTTTTTTAAATCTTCATTTTCATTTAAACTTAATTCCATGTGAGCAAGCACAAAACTCTCGACAGGAACAGATGACAGCTGTCATTGACAGGTAATCCTAGTGACAGCCGTACTGACAAAAATTGGATCACTAGGAAATGGCAAAACCGATGTTCTCTGTAACTTCTGAAAGTCTGTGGTGTTTCTTTCCCCACAACAAACATTGGTTAAAGAAAGCAGTCTAGAGCTCAGGTAGAGTCATTTTAACTTCTTAGTCCTTCTTTCAATATTAAATTGGCTTGGTTCCGGACACCAGGTGAACTGAGGCTGCAGGCCCGACCCCTCTGAACCTTCGCGCATCCCCACCGTTCCTCCTTCTTGGACCCCAGGTTGGTTGTCTGGGACTTTAAGGCGAACTCCCACCCCACCCCACCTGCAAACTGGATTGAGCCAGCCAGTAGTTCCGGACACCAGACGGACTGAGGCTGCAGGCCTGACCCCTCCAAACCTTCATGCATCCCCGCTGTTCCTCCTCCTTGGACCCCAGAGAAATCATCAAGCTACATCACCCACAGTCAGTACGATGGACATCGTGGACATGTCTGATAAGGAATTCAGAATATTTGTAGTGACCAAATTAAATGAGATGGAAGAGAAAAGAGACAAGGAACTCCAGGCGATGAGGAAGTCCTTTCATGACTTGAAAGAAGAAGAAATGGATACCTTAAACAAGAACCAGATGGAACTTCTAGGATTGAAGAATGTGATACAGGAAATCAAAACCTCTCTTGAAAGTATTAAAAGTAGGTTAGACCAGGCAGAAGAGCGAATCTCTAATGTAGGAGACAAAAATCTGACCAAGAAAAAAGTATCAAGAAGATTGAGAAAACAACCATGAAAAATGAGAATAATATACGAAGAATACCGGATACCATCAAGCGCCCCAACATCTGGATAATTGGTATTCCAG